TCCTATCCATACCCAAACCTTTATCCATGTTGCTGTTTCACAGCAAACCCCTCAATTTTGTTAACAATCCTTTTTGTGACACACTGTACATTTCTATTAGGAAACCTACATTGACTACTGAATGAAAACCGAAAGAACTGCGGATGCTGTAAATCAGGAACAAAAACAGACGTTGCTGGAAAAGCTCAGCAGGTCTGCCAGCATCTGTGAAGAAAAAGTCAGAGTTAACATTTCGGGCCTAGTGACCCTTCCTCAGAACTGATGGTAGCTAGGCAACCGTCGGTTTATATGCAAAAAATAGGGAGGGGTGGTGAGGTAAGGAGTAACGGTAGGATAGAGCCCAAAGAGAGAGAAGAGCAGTTGAATAGACAGAGGAATTGATAGCGATTTGCCTAGGAGGGTGAATAGTTGTTAATGGGGACTGTTAGTGACTAACAATGGGTAGGGTGTAATAGCAGGTTATGTGATAACAAGGCCTGGTGTAGGGGTCCAGGACATGAGTGTATAGGCCCTAAAATTATTGAACTTGAGATTGAGTCCGGAGGGCTACATTGACTACTTTCCTATTGTTGGTTACTTTTTCAAAAATCTGCATTAAATTTGTCAAACATGACCATCAGAACCTGGTGACCTAGTAAACTTTCCAGTTATTTCAAAACCAATTACTCTATCAATTGTTCCACTTTCTTCTGTGATACAGCTGTGTTCCCAGTTCTGCTTTTGCTCGTTAAAAGAAATATGGTATCCTCATGCTCCACCATTAAAATCATTCCTTCAATCTTGAGTGGTCCCTTCCTTTACCTAACTATTCACATGCGCATAAAAGCCTTTGTTATTTGTCCTCATATTTCCGCAATCCTTCTAATCTCTTGCAAAATCCTATTCAATTTCTGTATTGGTTTTGATTATTCGCAGACCTATTTGTTATTTATTCAGAAACCTTCTATTTAATATCCCACACCTTAGGAGCATTGATATGCAGAGGGGTCTGAGTGTGCAGGTCCCCAGATCCCTGAAAGTGACAACACAGGTGGATAAGGTGGTCAAGAAGGCACACAGCATGTTTGCCTTCATTGGCTGGGGCATTGCATGTAAAAGTTGGCAAGTTATGTTACAGCTGTACAAAACTTGAGTTAGGCCGTAATTGGAATGTTGCATGCAGTTCTGGTAGCAGCACTACCAGATGGACATGGAGAGGGTGCAGAGAATGTTTACCAGAGTATTGCCTGGTCTGGAGGGTTTGGGTTATGAGGAGGGGTTGAATAAACAAAGATTATTTTCACTGGAAAGACGGAGGCTGAGGGGCAACCTGATAGAGGTCAACAAAATTATAAGCCGCAGAGATAGAGTGAATAGTCAGAGGCTTTTTCCCAGGGTGGAAACATCAGCTCCAAGAGGGCACAAGTTCAGCGTGAGAGGGGGAAAGTTTAGGGGAGAAGTGCAGGGAAAATTTTTCACACAGAGGGTCGTGGGTGCCTGGAACGCACTGCCAGTGGAGGTGGTGGCAGCAGGCACATTAGCAACGTTTAAGGTGCGTCTTGATAGACACGTGAATGGGAAGTGGACAGAGGGATGGAAACCATGCATAGGCAATAAGTAGCAGGTCTAAACAAACATGAGGAATCATCACAGGCTTCATGGGCTGAAGGGCCTGTTCCCATGCTGTATAGTTTTGTGTTTTCATTTTCACTGTAGTTGGAATGTCTTTTTTTGTGTGTTTGACCACAATCTTGCACTTTGCACTGCTGATCTATTGACCTGCATGCTAATTTTTCTAACTGGCTAACTTGGGCTGACTTCCTTCTGATTCCTAACTTTGATTTTTTTTTCTCCCTCCAGTCCAGCACACTTATCAGTACTTCTGTTGCATCAACTTAAATTACTTGAGTAACCAGAAGCTGTTCTAGATAGTGATTAATTTAAAGTGCCTTTGGTCAGTCTTAAGACACAAACAATCACGTTTTTCATCACTAGATATGTGCAGTAATCCTGCCATAATTTCTATTTTGTTGCTGTTTAAGTGTCTGATGATGAAGTTCATATGAAGCCTTTGGAAATCTTTTGTTATGGCTACACTTTAAAATTAAACACTAGCTGTTCTCCCCTGGTATTGCTCATGACAAGTCTGGGTCACGGTTATGATGGCTAACAGCAACGATGGAGCTATGTTAGATCTGTTCTGAGCCTTTTTTAAGGTCATTGCAATTCATCCATGCAGTGTTAATTAGGGCCATCCTGAGACTAATTATTAAGGACAGTTTCTGTAAATCAACTGCATGTAAGTCTTTGGCTTCTGTCCTTGGGGAAAAGGACATGTTATCAGTATTGAAGCAGGAAATGACTGTCTAGCTTTCCTTTTTTTAAAAGAAAAATTCACTTTTGACAATTAAAATCTGCACATTTCAAACTTTAATTACATATATTATTGCTAAGCTGAACTGAGTAAACTAAAGTATTCCACTTAGAAAAGTTTTCTAGTTCATTTAGTGAGATGACTTTTCCAAAAAGGTTGCTCTGAAATATACACCGCATTGTCATAACTTTGAAGAAAAAGTTTAAGTGATCTTCAGCATGGAATTTGATTTATGGGAGGGGTCATTTTCAATTGTTTTTCCGTATTTCCTGGTTGGTTCGTTTTTATCCTGATTGACTACGAAAATCTTTTATAGATTGAGGCAATGTCTGCTCTTGTAGCTTAATGCCATACGTTACTCTAGTTTTATTGCTTTGCGTTTCTAGAGAAACTTGCAGGCATTTACTGTGAAAATCTCCTTCTGCGTTGATTAGAAAGCAAGCTGACGATGGAGAAAAATAATAATAAGTCTTAAACCACTGTATGGTATATGACCATGAGCCACACTAACTCTCAAATAGTGGGTATAAAGTCTGTCTGGCTTGGAAAGGAGAGCAGAGTCGAGGTTTAGACATGACGCGTGTCTAAGCAGACCCATACAGTCTGCCTGATTGTAGACAAGTTGGGCTGCATCTCATGTTTTTTTGGCTAAGTTCAAGTTGTGATGAGATTACCAAACTCGCAGTATTAACTACCTATCCTGCCCCATTCCAGCCCCATCTTTACCACCTGTCATTCCCAGAACAAATTGCCACTCTGGATATCTGCTTTGAAACTGGTTTCCTTGTGCCTGGGTCATCTTTGACATGTTGCTGCGGATTGGCAATCCAGTATTGCCTTTCACAGCAATTTAATGGCACAGCAGCCACAAAGCCCAGATGCCCGTGGCACAAAGCTAACCTCACTGCCTCACCCTAGTCGCTGTTTAACCACCACACCACACACTTTCCCTGTCTGTGACTATACCTGCTAAGTCAGTACTACTCTGTCCCCAGTGCTCACTGTAGACCAACAGTTTGTCATGCTCCAGTAGGGGAACATTGCATACAGGCAAGCAGTCAGTCAGGGGGTTACACAGTAGTAGTCATGGTAACAATCGGTAGCCTTATTCCCTCAATAATCAACCTTGAAAGGCACCTGAGACCTTCAAACACAACAGCTACATGAGAATGCTCCACGATGTAGGAATCGTGGCAGCTTGTAGGGTAGCAACCACACCCTCCAGTAAGTGGTAATGATAATCACAGATCACCTGAACATTAATTAAATGGAATCCCCTACTGTTGATGAATTTTGCAGCATTGTGATACGGCCACTGTGAACCTATGAGAACCTAGCTCCTGGGCTGCAGCACTTTTCAGGGCATGGGGTCACGGAATGAATTGGTGTGACCTTTCAGAGATGGCAGCTGTCACTAAGACTGAGAGATCCCACATGGGTCACCTCTCACTCCCTGGAAGGAGCCAGTCGCAGAAAAGTTTAGATTGGCAGTCACCTTCACAGCCACTGGGAGAAGATGGCCTCACATTTCCGCTTAGGACCTGCTCCAGCACCCAGCAGAGTTCTCTTACAGTGTCCTGGGACGTGTGTGGAGCATGCATTGATACTGTGCCTTGCTTGTCCCACAGGAAATGAAATTGGAGCCAAAACTCTGCACTATCTCTGCATCCTGAGGGGTATTGCAGCAGGAACCTCTCATTGAGCTGAGTGCTCTCATGTTCCACAGTGGCCTGGACCTGTTGCTGGCCCTGGTCGTCCTGCATTCACTTTCACCTTGTTAGGTCAGCAGTCACAACAACCAACGTTCAACCAGCAGCAGAGCACCAGATTCTCATTGGAAATGATCCATGTTGGGAACAGGAGAGAAAGAGTCATAATTGGCCTACCCCATAGCTGATGACTGAGCACACCTCTACATACAGTGCAACTTGCTGTACCCTGAGAACAAGAGGCACACCCCAATTTGCCTTGAGTCTCCCTGTGTTACTGCCTTTGTAACGGCCTTTGTAATTTTCCCCATCCTTGACTCCCCTACCCCTTTGGCAGTGCCCCTATAGGTCCTCCTTACACCCTCCTCAGCAGTTATTAGATGTTAAACAAACCACCAAGACTTCATTCACCACAGACCTCTGATCAGTTTGGGTGAGCAGCCTCTAGACGTGACTGACCAGGCTCCAACTCCTGTGTTTCCAGCTCCATGGCTGACAGTACACGATTGCTTGACAGCTTGTGATGGCCTTATAGGACTGACCATTGCATACTCCCCAAACTATGCTGGGACAGATCCCTTGACCATCAACACTTCATGTGGACGACTGATTGTGGCTGGACTGTGACTGACAGTACTGCAACTCCCTGACCTGGTGGATGAGGGAGAGAGAAAAGTTAGCCCTATTGTACAGAGACATTTTGTACAGAGGGAAGGTTTTTGTTTTCTAACCTACTGCGTATGGTCATTGTTTTTAACTCCTGTAATGAAAGTCCATATATATTACCATTGTTATTTCAGAACCTGGGTTCAAAGTGGAGGAAACTGGATTTAGTTTTGAGTTCTGTGAAGGTGTGGTAGTTTTTCTAAAGGTCAGAAAGCCATTTTGAATAGTGAGTTCAAAGTAGCATTTACAAGAAGTGATATGATTTTAGCTAAATGACCAACAAGCTCCCTGGGGAGAAAGTTGCCAAGGTATTTCATGAATCCCGGAGAGAGCGAATGGGACAGAAGCCGGTCCATGTTGGGGAAGAGACATAACAGCAGAGGTACGGTTATTATCAGTCTCCAAATGTTTAGGGCTGGGGAAAATTCCTGAGGTATTTAGAAGCCAGTGATAAGAAAGATCCAGAAGCAGAAAGCTGTAGGGGCAGCGGAGTGAAAAACACCCTGTACCCGACAAAGCTGTTTAAGGTTGCAGTGAACTGAGTTAACAGTTTGAGATAACAAGGTGTAGAGCTGGATGAACAGAGCAGGCCAAGCA